AAATTCTTAAAGTTCTTTTTGCCCTAAAAAAAAAAAATAATTCTTTTTTGTGGTGGTAATTGTAAAGTTCCAAGGACACCAGATTAACCTTTGGTATAGACAAGACTCAAACTGTTGTTGCTGTATGGTTTGCCACACCGCAATTTGCGTATTTTGTTTCGTATACTGTTCTTCTAAATGACTGCCGGTTCGAATTTTCTGGCTCTTCAGCGGTTTACACAGATCAACGTATCTGTATCAAATATGTTTTTGAATATGAGTTTCAAATTCACTGTGTCCCTTTTTTCCTCCTATTTGAAACTTTATTTAACTTTTATTTATTTGCGTTTTTTAACTAAAATTTTTGCAAACAAAAGAATTTGTTTAATAGCTTGAAGAGACTTTAAAAAGTCACCGAAAAATGGTAAACTGTAAATAACATTTAATAAAACTATAAAAAGAATTAAAATAAATAGAATTGCTTTTATAAAAAAACAGCAGAATTGTTGCTAATTTATCCATTTACTGTTGTTAATTTTGTCTTTGACTTGTTTCTTTCTTTTTTTTTTCTCTACTTATTATTTCATCTAAAACTCAACCAACAACCACCAAAAGTTATAACCGTTTTAAATGCACAGAAAAAATCAAAGAATTTCTCGCCTTCTTTTTTTAACAACAAAATTTAATAAACAGCCAAAATTTTTACAAAAAATTACTAATGTAAATACAAATACTGTACATTAGTAGTATAGACTAGTTCCATACCTTTAGCCCGTAGTAACTACTTCATTCATGTTGAACGCTCAAATGGTCAATAAAATTAACCATTAACTTTTTGCTGTCAACAGTATAATCTTCTCAAAATTTCAGTTAGCAAATTCTTTGCTAAGTAAATATTTTCTCTTAACAGATAAGTAAATGAGAGTATAAATGAAAATAAAACGGATTTATTGCCACACCAAACTGTGAATTTCACTGGATACATCTTCAAACCCCCTCCCCCCAACCCCCTTCCCCCATTTCTGTAATCTATGTTCACAATGCAATAAAGTAACTGTATGGTGAAAATACTCATGCGCCTATTAAATTGTTATATAAATTGCCAATAAACGTGAGCAAAAATAAACACAATTTACATTGTCTGTCATATCACTGTTACCGAACAATATAGAATAATTGTATTTTTAACTTCACACATACCTAAATAATCAGCCTGCACTGCCATCAAATTTTACCATCAACAAATATCTATGATCCGCAGTAATGAAATACTAATAGATCAGTTTCACTGAGCTGCGCTGTAAAAATACCTCCGATGTACTGTTAAAATTTAAACCCTGTTAGACAGGTTAGGTAATGATAATTGCATAAACACGTTGAGCAAGAGCTACGACCGAAATAAATTAATAT